ACCAATATGACCATGTTGCGAATACAAGATCAAACAACTTCTATACTGCTTAACACTGATAGTATCGCTTGTGTCAATGAGGGTGTCAAACAACTTCTAATGTTACTGTAACCTTGACGACTAGAGATGGTCAGCTCTAGCACAAGGTGACCAATGGTTTTGATGAGTTTGGACCTTTTCGTCTGTAGATGAAGTTGGGTGGAAGGGATTCAGAGATTGGTCTCAAAAGAAGTTGAGGCAGAATGACCTGAAAGTTGTTACTTTTGCCTTGAGCCAAGAAGTTCCCGGCATCGAAGAAAATCTGATCTGTAAATCACGTCCCCCCCTCACATCATTTCATTAGAAACCTGAGGTCCACTATTGTGAAAATAGTAGAGGATTATGCGAAACTCGGTTTTTATTTACGTATGCAAATATGGATTTTGCCTGGCTAACGCCAAGTAAATAGTCAAAACCAACATTGGTGTTAGCAAGAGAGTAAAGCTGTCCTTTGGGTCCCAAACTGGGTCTCATTTGGCTCACTGTCGCTCCAGGCCCACAAGCCCAAGAGTTCTTTGAAGAGTTGGTCTAAGTCTGTCGCGCCCATGTGTTTTCCCTCTCTCCTTCTGACAATCTGTATAACTGCACATGCATGTTCATACAAATACCTAGAAACACACACACACACACTCTCTCTCTCACACACACATACACACCCAAGAACACGCATATACACAAGAACATACATACTAGTCGAACTTAAAAGCTCTTTTCTCACTCGCCGTCCAGACGTCTCAGTAAAAGTAACACAACCCCTCATTTCCTAGCTCGAGCCGTAGGCGTCTCTTGCTTGGTACATTCACCCAATTTATTCCAAGCCCAGGCCTATGCCACGTCACACATCTTCCAGTCGTTTGGTCTACGCCCACTGCTCGCACCGGCGGATACTTTATTGAGTCGACATGTCGGCCGATCCCGGTCTCGGTCGGCAGACGGACTGACCACGATTTAGACTTGGTTACTCGCAGAGTTGACGTAGGACTTGAGGTTGAAAGGATAAAGTTTCACCAGATGCCAGGCTTTCTGCTCCTGGACGAGGGTGCAACTGATGCGACGATTGGAATATTATATGTTCAATGTGCATTTATCTATGCTTAAAAATGTGTGCATGCCTGTCTCGGTGAGCGCATGTGCACATGCAGTTCCTTCAAAAGCTCGCCCAATCTGTTCTCCCTTCGCCAAGAACGGGTTTCCTATAATGGGAGAAGAAATGCGCGTATATAGACACATTTATATACATGCATTTATGTACAGAATATCTGTGCTCGTGTATGCATCCGTGTGTGTCCGGGAAATCTGAACAAGAAAGTCTTCGGTAGAGACTAGTCTGGTGAATTTGTGATGATAACGATAGGAATACAGAATGGGGAAGAGCAGAAAGTAAGCCGAGCCACTGGAGGGCGGCCAGACCACGGAATCTCTTGGTCAAGTCGGATTTGCTGGCCAGCTTCTTTCGGAGTGAGTCATTTTGCCTCGTGCAAATTGTCATTCTGTCATTGCCACTTATTACTTTCTCCTCTCGCAGTGTGGAGACTATCAAGGCGATGGTAACCGTTGGTCTGGTGGACGAGTCGATCACGAATAAATGAGGCTTTACTTTTCCAGTCCATTTAGTCGCATGTTTTTCCCTCAAATGACATGCTACACGGCTTTGGCTCCGTTCGCCAAGGGGGATATTCACAGAGTCAGGTTGAAATCTCAATCCTGAAGATATGAAGGTTGTTTGACCTTGTTTTCGCAACATGGTCATATTGGTAGGAAGACTTAGAGGAACGCACATAGTCAGGAGTTCATTGTCTGCATGATCATTTCCAAAGTCAGATCGTGGACGTTGTACATTCCCAAACGTTTCGCCGGCATCGTCAGTGAGTATCGCCATTTTTAGCATCATACAACAACTCGTCAAAGAGACAAGACGAGTTGTTGTATGATGCTAA